ATGAAAAAAAAAAAATTTGAAATAATATTTTTATTAAAAAAACATTTGCAGTAATAATTTCAATTATTTTTAGATGGACCACCTATTTACTTCTATCTTTAAGATAGATGCTTTATACCTTTGGACCGCATATTGTATAAATGTGTTCTTACACTGTTTTAAAAATCGTCGATCCAATTTGAAATCTGACGATCCAGATCGAATATCGATGATACCGCACCAGATCGGGTATCGTTAATATCGGGCGGGTTCCAATTATTTTTGATATTTGGGTTTTCTTTGCCCTCCGCTTTTTTGGTGTGTTACACACCATCAACAAACCATGTGAACAACACATGGACCATTGTCTTATCGTTAACATCGGGCGGGGTCCGATTATTTTTTATATTTGGATTTTCTTTGCCCTCCGCTTTTTTGGTGTGTTAAAACCATCAACAAACCATGTGAACAACAACACTAATGGTTGAAGAATGATTGCAACCACCCAATTTTGAAACAATGAAATATTGTCACAAAGTTCGAAAAAAAAAAAATTTGAACTTTACCAAAAAATAATTGCAACCACCTAATTTCACATCCAATGATCAAGATTAATGCCTCACCTTGTACTAAAGTGAAATGGTCTCATTCCATACTTTCCCTTAAAAATTTACAAACGCCAACACCATATTCAAAGATCCACGAAGCAGGTAGATCTTCCATAAAAAAGCACCAATTATCGATCACCTTATTATCAGTTAAGAGTACGTTAGAGCATTTCATTTTCAATTATGATCAACCGATAGATTCTAGAAGGTGACAAAGGACCTACACCCGGACCCAAATCCAACTCAGGACTCAAAGGGTAGGCCCAACCCAAATCCTGGTATGAGTTAAAATATTGGACATGACAAGTCAGGTCCGTCACGAATCACTATACAAGTCGAAGTCCAGGTCTAGATCCCACATATTTTGGGTCCTACTTAATAAAAAAAAATTTAATAGATTTAAATGATATATATTTTAATTTTTGGGTGAGTCCAACCCACCCCAAAATACTTTTTGGGGCACGCCCAACCTGACCTGTTGTCACCCTAAATTAGATTCTCATACTTCCCAATCCTCATGCATATATTTCCCTAAATTAGATTCTCATACTTCCTAATCCTCATGCATATATTCTCCTTATAACGAAAATATATAACAAGACGATTTACCTTTTGCACAAAATAGTTACAATTAATCTTGACCACTAGATGTAAAATTGGGTAGGCAAAGTTAAAAAAAAAAATTCTTGAACTTTATAACACACTCAAACTATCATATTTTCAGATTTTATAAAAAAAAAACTTCTCGAACTTTATAACACACTCAAACTATCGTATTTTCAGATTTTATATCAAATGGTTATAAGTAATTGTGGCCACCTAGTATTATGGTCTCTTTGTATACAATCCCTACTTTTGTATACAATCCCTACTTCTCTTTTTCATAATGAAGTTTGTTTTTTATAATGAAGTTTGATGAATAACTTCTCTTTTTCATAATGAAGTTTGTTTTTTATAATGAAGTTTGATGAATAACTTCTCTTTTTCATAATGAAGTTTGTTTTTTATAATGAAGTTTGATGAATAACTTCTCTTTTTCATAATGAAATTTGTTTTTTATAATAAAGTTTGATGAATAAAAATGGTAGCATCCTTTCTTGAGCTCCAAGGAGACATTATCAGGAATGCATGTGTCAGTGTCATTAGTAACATAGTCCCCTCCATTCCACTGTTATTGAAGACGAATGGTGGAGATGACAACCAAACAGAACACCTTCCATCATCCATCATTGAAGATGGATGATGACAGCCAAACAGAACACCTTCTGTCATTGAAGATAGATGATGACAGCCAAACAGAACACCTTGGTGGAGATCACAACCAAACAAAACACTTTCTCCATGAGACATAGTAGATAAGACTGCACATATACCCATACAGAACCATGATATCCAAATTGGAGATCAATTTCACAAACATCAACCACCAAAAGACATACCATAAGTCATTGTAGCTCCTTGATCCAGATACCAAAATTATGAAGTAGAAAGCCTACCAAAAAAAAAAATTATCAAAGTTCCGATCAGAGCAGCATAAACGAACCTAATGTAAATATATTTATCTTTCCTCTATGCTTAGGATGGATAATCTCAATCTCCAACTTCAACCAAAATCAAAGTCATCATCCTTCCCCAGCGATCTTCCAATCGATGCATTTTAGGGTGATATCTTTGCTCTAGAGAAATCCATCTCCGGATGCTGGATAAAGCAAAATGATTCAGTTTCTAAATTAAGAATAGATTCATTTGAAAACGCAGAGGTGGAGAGAACATTTACGCACCTGAGCCATGAACTTCTTGAGAATTTCTTGCTTCTGCATCTCATCACTCGTTGGCAGGCCCATTGATTTCTGCCTTTGATCAAACTGTTGCAAGCAAACCAGATAAACCAGAGTTGGTTAATCACTAATGATGACTTTGTGGAAGATTAGCCTTTGAAAACTTCATTAGACTGTAATGATGCCCCGTTCCTCAAAAAGTAGATCCCTATACATAGCAAGAACAAAACAATTTGATGCTGCATTGCAATATGATTCATCGATGCTTTATCTTTCCTTGCAGGAGGATGCTTAGGAAAAAGTCTAAGCATGGTCATACTTAAAGCCTACTCTTGAAACCCATAAAGCATATATCAGCGCCATATGATTCTTATTCCTAGTAACTCACGACCCCAGTTTACACATTCAAAGTTTAAGCTTTGACAAGATGGACAAGTTGACCTGTTTTATGGTGAAGGATGTCTTATTCTAAATTTCCACATGGTTGGATAAGAAATTGAGAAAGCAGCGCATTGAGGTGGAAGGATATATGGAAACATTATTTGCATGGGGGGCTAAGAATTTAAATTATCATGGGAAGATGGCACTAGGATTCGACGAAGCGTCAACGAAGTGGAGACAATTGGTTGAGGATAACATTACAGGTGTTATCATAGAAGGGATAGGTGGGGAGGGGCATTTGGAGGATAACATAACAGGTCAGGAGAGACGTTAGATAACAGTTATGATAGCATAAAGGTGCGGTTGTGGTCACATAAGTAGTGTAGAAATGAGTATTTGTATTTTAGTTCCCATAAGTAGTTGGCTTGCAGGAAGGCCTTAAATAGAGATTGTTTTCAGTTGGCAGCACACAAGAAGTAGAGTTGTAGTGTGTCATCTTACAAGGGACTTCAGGGATGAAGACTTATCAGGTTGGATAGTTAATTCTTCAAAACTATATATAGTTAATTCCATTGTCTAGAAGCAGTTATGTCCTGATTTCGTTGGATTTAGTAAAGAAAAATAAAAGGAAAGATCCAGAAGTGGGATGTTATAGGGAGGTTTTCAATCAAGTAGTTTCGACGACTTGGTTGGATAAAGATGGTCCCCAGATGCCATCGGTATTCCAACACCAGCCAGGGTGCTCACCTATGGGTAGATAGCACAGATACTTTGAAGTTTCATAATAGATTTTCTTACACTCATCAGGGGATGCCAGTGCCCATTAGCATTTCTCATAGGCTGTCAGTCCTTTTGTTGCATTACATCAAAGCTTGGAAGATATTGACTGATCCCCTTCAAAGTATTTTGAAAAGAAAAAATGAAAAAGATCAAAATAATTCACAAGTACACACACAAGTATGCAGGTGACTAGAGAAAGAATTAGAGAATTCCATGACTCCCTAAGCTCTTGTTCTTAAGGAGACATACTCCAAAGCCAGGGACAAGACGAAGTACAAGCCTAAGCTGAAAAGCTCAATAAAGTCAAGCCAATAAGGGGATCCTGACTCTACACGAACCCTTGGCCTCTGGGTATGACCAGTATCTTAATGAACAGAGATGGAAAGCTTCTCCATATTGGTTAGGTAGAGTTTGTGACTCCACGAACGCAGAAGCAATACTAATATTGTGGTCCTCAAAAAGTGCTTCTTAATTTTTGTCAGAAGCCAGAGTACCCCCAGGAAACTAACCATGCAATTAAAACACCAGAAAAGAGCAACAGAAAGAACCCAACAAGTTTGGGGAATGGATACAGCAGTAGTAGATAAAAAAGAAAATCTCCGCCAACTCTAGAAATTTGAAAAGAGTTTGCAAATTGGCTGGAAACTTCAGATATTATCCGAGTGTTGGGAAAAAAACAAAAAGTAGAAAGGAATCTTCGAAGTCAAAAAAAAAAATTGCAATTCAAGGATTTAACTTAGCAGAAGAGAATGCTAAGAGAATGCAGATTGTGAAGAAAGTCAAATATCACAGGGCTGTGCAATCAGAACAAAATGCTCAACATAATCATATGAAAAAATATCTTTTGAAAAATACCATCATCTTCTCAACAGTTTGGCGTGTTTCAGGATCCAGATCAGAGAGCTTGCTATTTTCAGGTTCCACTTTCTGAGTGTCAACTTCAGGTTCGCCTTTAACAATACATTTCCACCACTCCATCTGGTTATGCTTGGTGAGAAGCACAGAGATAGACTTACCATCCTCTGCATAAATTTAAAACAAATTTAATTTCTTACAAAATTCAACGACGTGGACATTAAAAAACCTGGATTTTCTAAAGTGATCACTATTTGCACCAAAATTTCTGCTATCTGCAACAATATTTTTCCTATGCCCAACCTGAACATGTGCAAAAATAACGAAAAACGTATGCTGGATAGAATTTCCACCCATGCTGATAGATGCAAATAGGAAAAACAAGGGTGCATATGGAAATCCCATTTTGTAGAGGAAACATAAAATAACCAACTTTTCTATCCTCATACCTAAGCTCCAAAAGCAATCATCCACTTTCACAGGCTGATACAGCTCTCCCTGCATGCAACCCAATTGACAATGGAATAAAACAACCAAATAAAAGAAAAAAATAAAAAAGGACTTCTCACTAAATACTATATAGAGACAGATCAGACGTAAGGAGGCACAAGTCAGGTGCCTTCCATGTGCCATTCCCAAAAAAGAAATAATAAACCTTGCCAATCTTAAGACGATATTTGTTTGGGATAGTTAATATTGAGATTAGAAATGAGATAATAAACTCACATCAATTATTGGAGGCTGACCCTTCAATCCGACCTTCAAGTGCTTCTTCTTTATCTCACAGACAATGAACCTTGACTTCGTACCCGGAGGAATTGGGATGTTAACACTTGCCTCTTGTAGTGTCTGAGTCCAAGAATACTTCTCCAAATCCAGTCCATTTCCAGAATTGGGGCCTACATATAAAGAGATCAATCAGGCAGAGATTCATGGAAACAGAAGGGATACTCAGCACATGGACGAACAAAAACAGAACACAATTTGCAAGAACCGAAGTACCAGAGCTTAAAACCAAAGTTACCGGAATCTCTTCGTCGACCCCTCAATTCCGGCTCGGAACCCCGATTCGATGATTCCGTTAAGGAATCTTCTCCAAAACTGTTTCTCAGAACCAAGGAATCATGATTCCTTAATTTAGGAATCTCATTCAAGTACATCTTTAGAATCTTGAACCCATTATTTTTGGAAAGTCATTCCCAAATATATTGAGTCCTGACTCCAACAAAGATTGAAGCTTGAGTCCAAATCGAGTGATACATGATTCCATATATAATGAATCTCATTTTGTTAGGGTTTTGAATCTAGAATCTACCATGTATAGTACATCGGTTCATAGGAGTAAGGAAGTGTGATTCAATCAATATGGAATCTTGCTTCGACCTCCATGAAATGGCAGAAGCTCCTCGCAGCAGCCCGAAAGGGCGGAAGAAGGAACAAATTGTAGCCCTCCTCTCTCTCTCTCTC